TTGGAAGTTACAAATATTGAAGATCATGAACAACAAGTACAAAGAGGGTTGGAAGGTTCAGAAGCTAAAGGAATTGAAGAAAAATATGTTTCGTCGAAAGCCGACAAGTTGGGAATGTTATAGCATGTACTTTTGGGGTGAGACCAGGGTGTTTAACATGATAAGGAGGTTATGTTATGAGTTATGTTATTCGTATGATAGTCGTGTGCTATATTTTGAAGTCAAGAGAGTGGTAGAACAAAAGTCGATGAAAGTCATCACAAGTTACGTTCATACGTTTTATTGAAACTTTAGGTCAAATGTAACTGCGATTTTCTCCCAATATACTTAGAGTTATGGGGTGTTCCACCCATCAAATTAAAGATCTATGAGTCTATTTTCCAAAGCATTAAACCGTTTGTCAATACGATATCGGAGTAGAGAGATATGGGCAGTTTTGCAAGACTGCGCAGACTGTCACCTACTTGCTTAAACGAGAATCCAAATCTGGGCCAATTCAGGTCGTCCAAAATTAGGCCAGTTCGGGTCGTTCAAAGAGGCCTTTTTAAAGGCCTATCCCCTTCATATATTAGGATGATAATAGAGAAAAATAACCAGACTTAATCTCTGCAAAAATTCTCCCAAAAATTGCCTACAAACTCCAATTGATTTTCTCTCCCTTTCAAGTTTTAATTGGAGGTAAAGCCTAGAGTTTGAAGAACCAAGATAGGAGCTGAGTTATCCCACAAATAAGGTAAGTTTACTGCTCTCTTTCATCCATTTTTTACAGTTGTATAAGCAAGGTAAGTTGTTCTATATTTGTAAGAACTCACGGGACGGTGATCGGAAGCCGTGAGTTCGAGTTATTCACTTGTAGCGGACTGTTTTGTGGATTATTTTGTGGACTGTTTGGTGTTGATTTTGGGCTGCGTGATTTAATATTATTTTGTGGAGTTTTGTAGGATGAAGGGTGTGGAGAAACACCACATAAAATGCAGGATGTTGGGCTCGTCATTTATCGTAATATTTTCGGGTTGTTGACACTATTACGGTAGTCGTTTTGTGTACGAAANATCTTGAATTTGGAGGAAGTAAGGATTATAGGGGAAATGCTGTCCGTTTTAATACAAAATAAGTATGTCGTTCATTGTGCGATAGTTATACGTTTCGTAACTTAATGATAGTATTATTATCGTTGTTGTAGATTAAGGTGAGAATAGGCGAGTTCAACTTGGTGATTGGAAAGATTGTGATAAGGTATGTTAAGGCTAAACCTTTCCTTCATTTTGGCATGATCCCGTAACTACATATGTTTGACAACGAGACATAAATGGAAGTTCGTATTCATGAATTTATATACATTATCCTATTCTCATAAGTTACAGTGTTCTCCCTTATTGGGACTCTATATTCAATTTAGTATTGTCTTCTTCCAGTCAAGAGAGCAAAGGGCCTATACATATACAGTATTACAGTATTTTCACCACCATCGAGCTATAATCGGTGGGCAGCCCCCTATTGGGCAACCTCTGATCAAATGGTAAGTTATATACCGAGCCTACTATGGCCGAGCGCCTATGAGAGAGCCCAGGATGGTCGAGATATAGAGCCTTGTATGGCCGAGCGCCTATGAACGAGCCTACTACGGTCGAGCAGTTACATGTACCGAGCCTTATAGGGCCGGACATTTATCTTACTTAATATATTGAAGGAGTTGAGTTAGTATCAGCAGGTAAGTATATCTCCATATCATCTTTGACTCCCAGTTACTTTCAGTTATTATATTATAAGTTCAGTTTCAGTTTTCAGTTATGTTATTGCCTTACATACTCGATACATTATTCGTACTGACGTCCCTTTTCTGAGGACGTTGCATTTCATGCATGCAGGTTCAGATAGACAGACGGGTAGACCTCCTCAGTAGGTGTTTCTAGAGTTCAACCTGATTGGTAAGCTCCACATCTTTCGGAGTTATCGGGTCTAGGTTTTCATGTACATCTTTTGTATGTATGTATATATATTATGGGTAGGTTGGGGCCCTGTTCCGATCACAATATATCTATCAGTAGAGGCTTGTGGACATATCCTGTTGGTTAGTGCACTATATTGGGTTTGTAGGCCTGGTATGTATATTTTGGTGGTTTGTCAGCTGTAGTAGTTATGACGGCCTTGTCGGCCTAGCTTTATATTGATGTTTAGTTAGCGCTAGTTTCCATTCAGTTTTATATTTTGCTTCGCAAATTGTCTTGCAAGGTGGCCCCATGGCCAAATTATGATATTTTATGTTCGGAGTCCCTTAGTCGCAATTTGGTACGCCAAGTTAGGTGAAGCATCGGGTGCTGGTCTCGCTCCTAGGTTCGGGGGTGATAGAAGTAAAAGAAAAAAATAGAATTATAAAGTTTCCTTGCAGAACTTGGTCTGCATCTCAAACGAAGTTATGAGTAAGGATTTTTGGGGGTTTCTTTTGTGTTGTTTCGATTCCAATGATATGTCCGAAGTCTGCCGCATGTCACAAAAGTTTCTCGCACTAACTATTATGATAATACAATATTGCGATTGTCAGATCATATTTTTCATTCGATATTTACATACCTTAGATGTAAATTTTGGTACTGATGAATTTCGCCCTTCTTCTCTTTCTTTTTCAAGCGGCAGATTCCAATTTTCTTCTTCTTCCTTTTTTTTTCTTTCTTATTGTAAGATAAAAATATGTGTTTGAGGTGGTGTACATCTATGTATATCACAATGTATACTTGTGTGTATATCATGTTGTATATCATGATTTACATTGTTAGATTTGGCAATATATCTAATCGGAATCAAATCGTCCATTTTGATTTTAAGAGGGAGAAATTCATTTTGAATAAACTTATTTCAATATTGTTCTTGTCAAAGATTTTTTTTTTTTGTTGATATAACAGGTTTAGACGACAAGAGTGGGTTGCTCTAGTGGTGAGCACCCTCCACTTCCAACCAAGAGGTTGTGAGTTCGAGTCACCCCAAGAGCAAGGTGGGGAGGTCTTGGAGGGAGGGAGCCGAGGGTCTCTCGGAAACAGCCTCTCTACCCCAGGGTAGGGGTAAGGTATGCGTACACACTACCCTCCCCAGACCCACATTAGTGGAATTATACTGGGTTGTTGTTGTTGTTGATATAACAGGTTTAGAGCAAGTTCTAAAATATAAAATAATAAATATAATCGTGGGAATAAATAAATTTGATATACATTTAAATATATAAAGAAACNATATAATAAATTTTAAATAATTATATTTATTATTTTATATTTTAAATATACAAAGAAGGAAAAAAATTAATATATATTTCTATATACACAAAGAAGAAAAATATTATGATATAAATATTCTTGTTGTGATATATATTTATTTGCGACAAAATCCCTATTCGAAAAGCTGTCACTTTTCTCAACGGACACTTAATAAAACGGCTACTTTTTTCTCAGCCACTCGATGAGAGCTTCATATCATTCCTCTTCTTTTTGTTTTGTTTTGTTTTGTGTGATTGTGTGGCTGTGATATCCTCACTAAGAGAAAAATATAAAACAAAACAGGGTTAGAGGCTTGACATTTGAGTTTTATTTAGCTTACTTAGATAAGCCCACCGCCTCAACTCCCCGATAATAAGATTCTTTTGTTGCCTTTTCTTTGTTTTAATTTGAAGGGCTATAATTGGATGAATATGATTCTTGTAACCTTAATTATAAGTCTTGGAGTTCTAGTATTGAAAATTAAAAAGAAAAAATTAGCGAAATGCAATTTTCCCATTAATATGCCAGCGTAAATTGAGTTGCACTCAAACTTACTCCACTAAACAGTATGTTGTGCTAGAATGCTACCTTAACAAATGATTGAAATTTTGAACTCAATATGGTGAATCAGGATTACTTGTAACAATCCAATAAAAAAAAAAGAAAAAGTAAAGAGAGTACATTTTTATCATCTTATTGCAAAATAAAAAAGTGTTATGTCATGCTAGACTTAAATTATTACCCAAAGGCCAAAGAGCACTTTGAAAATGCCAGGACAGAAATAGATGACTCTTTTTAATTTATAAAGAAAACAAAAAGAATCAATTAATGATGGAATCACAATTTCAAAATTTTGCTTAGCTGCCCGTTATTTCAACTATTTGAAGATTAGGTGAATAAGTTGGCCCCGTCCAGCAAATCAAATGCATTACTATGCTTTTCTAAGAAATAAATAATGTGACACTCTGTAGAAGATAAGGACAACAAATTAAACCATAAACAAATCTGTCAACATCCTTTCCAGAACCCTCTTTACTTTCACTAACAAAGACAACACTCTCGTTCGGTACCGTAAATAATATGGCATTAACAAAAACTAGCACTTAAGGGTGTGGTAATATTCAATAAAGTAAATTAAAAATTATAAGGTATTCGCGCAAACTTAACTGTGGCAAAAATATTAGATAATTTTTTCTCATATTTCAAAAGTGGATATGGTTATCTCGTATATATATATTGGTGAAATATAATACTCTTTCGGTTTAAAAAAAATTGGTACTATTTTCTTATTAGTGTGTTTCAAAATAATTGATATCTCTCAATATTTTTTTAGCAAGAAGTATTTATAGTAACACAAATATTATAACAGATTTTAGATCATAAATTTCAAAAGTTTTACAACTACACAAATACTAATATGACTTATTTAAGATCATAACATTCAAAAGTTTTACCACCTCACAAATGCTATGACTTATTTAAAATTATATATTTCAAAAAATTTTCTTTCCTTATTAAAGTTTGTAGCAAGTCAAACTAAGATAATCTTTTTGAAATGGAAGAAATAAACTACTTTATCTAATTAATTGAGTGTCCGCAAACTGACACGTATATCATGATTATAAAAAAATACTAATTAGTTTTAGAAAGATTAGACCATCCGAATAATTTATACAATTAGTGAAAGAAAAAGAAAACTCTGGCACACTTATTTTATTAGGAGTGAATGATGACTTCTCCACTATAAAACAAGACAAACCCTATCCCATCTCAGTACCCAACTTCCTTTTTTGGATTCCATTTACAGAGAGAAGAAAACTCAGTTGAGTGACTGAAGAAAAAAAAATGGCAGAGAACAAGGAAGAGGATGTTAAGCTAGGAGCAAACAAGTACAGAGAAACACAACCTTTGGGTACAGCAGCTCAAACAGACAAGGATTATAAGGAGCCACCACCAGCTCCTTTGTTTGAGCCAGGAGAGTTGTCGTCATGGTCTTTTTACAGAGCTGGAATTGCAGAATTCATGGCCACTTTCTTGTTCTTGTACATCACTATCTTGACTGTTATGGGTCTTAAAAGATCTGATAGTTTGTGTTCTTCTGTTGGTATTCAAGGAGTTGCTTGGGCTTTTGGTGGTATGATCTTTGCCCTTGTCTACTGCACTGCTGGTATCTCAGGTTAGTTTCTTGTTACTTCTTTGTAGTTTTTTCTAAAGTCTTGTTCTTTTAATACTAAAAAGTTGTAAATCTTTATGTTTGGTCATGAGTTTTCTCTCATAATTTTGTTACTGATTTTCATTTTTATCCCTTTGGCAACTATTTTTATGGATCTTGTAAAATACCCATAAAAAATACTATCCTTTTTTGTTCCTTGCTTTGGATTTTTTAGTATGTATTTCTTGGTGCTCCTTACAACTCCCAAATATGGAGCTCTAAACATGTTCTAGCACTTGTTTTTTTGGTTTACCTTGCTTGGTTTTCAACATGTAATCTTGGTTTTTCCTTTACAATTCCCAAATATAAGCTCAAAACATATATATATTACCCAGTTTCAATTTATATGCATACTTTGATTGGGCACGAGTTTAATAAAGAAATTAAGATTTTTCTAAACATTTGTGAATTATGTGACTAAGATTTTGTATGCATATGGTGTTAAACATGGTATAACATTATTGTGTGGCTAAAAAGCTTGTTATTAAGATTAAAAAGGGAAGTTCAAGCTAAATTATTTTTCAAAGTTAGAAAGGTGTCATCTTTTGGAACAAATAAATAAGAAAATAGTACTCTTGTTTTTTGAAATTTGGTTTGTGCAAACTTTGGTTTGTGGTTATATTCTTTTCATAAAACTGACACTATATTGAAATTAACAGGAGGACACATTAACCCAGCAGTGACATTTGGTCTGTTCTTGGCAAGAAAGTTGTCTTTAACAAGGGCTCTGTTCTACATGGTGATGCAGTGCCTAGGTGCAATCTGTGGTGCTGGTGTTGTTAAAGGTTTTATGGTGGGTCCATACCAGAGACTTGGTGGTGGGGCCAACGTGGTTCAACCTGGCTACACTAAAGGTGATGGACTTGGTGCTGAGATTGTTGGCACCTTTGTCCTTGTTTACACTGTTTTCTCTGCCACTGATGCCAAGAGAAATGCTAGAGATTCACATGTTCCTGTAAGTTCCGTCTTGTCCTACCAATAACTTTAGTTTAATAGTACTATCTTTTTGGCTCAAATTTTTTATTTTTAGTGATGGTAAACTGCTTATTTGGATGTAAATATCTTATTTCTTGATTTACTTTTTGGTCTTGAAAAAGTAAAGTTGATCATGCTAGGTGTGTGGTGTTTTGTTTGGTTTGTCAGAGCAAGTGCTTTAATTTGATGTAGCTTTCTCATTGATAATATGTTATGAATTGCGCTAAAGTAGTGATATTCACGTGGATGAGTTACTGTACACCTGGGCAGTGATTTGTCATTGTTAGAGTTAAGTTAGGTGCCCCTGAATCTTGATGCTTTCACTATGTGGGCTTTAGTCATTTTGTACTTTAAAGGGTTCAAATTTTGCTCTTTTCTCATATTTGGTGGAAGCATATCTGAGTTTTTCTAAGTGAATAATTATTAACCTTAATGTTTGGCCTTATAGGCTTAAATAATAGAGTAAATTGGTATGGTACATGCATAATACACTTACACTTTTGTCTTAAGAACACTGGTATTTTTGTGTTATATTCAACTTTGCTTTTATCAAAGTAATTGGCCAGTCATGACGAATTTTTTCAAGGGTCTTCAAACTTGAAGGAAGTGAAAAAAATTCTCCAGACTTCAATATATGTTATATAGTATATAACTAGTGTATCAAGTTCAAAGTTAATATATGAGGAATCATATACAAGCAAAGTTTTAAATTATGTGGTGTCCTCTTCCTATTTGGCAGATTCTTAACTTTTGTTATGACAGATTTTGGCACCTCTTCCTATTGGATTCGCGGTGTTCTTGGTTCATTTGGCCACCATCCCAATCACCGGAACCGGTATCAACCCCGCCCGGAGCCTTGGAGCTGCTATCATCTTCAACCAAGACCGGGCATGGGATGATCACGTAAGTCTTCCAGTAAAATACTTTCAATACAAAAATGACTTCGGTCATACCAAACATGCTTACGCCTTTGAGTAAAATAAGTCTCTCACTAAAATATTTTTCGTAGAGAATGACTTCCGCCATACCAAACATACTTATGCCTTTGACATTACTGTTGCACTGAAATTGTATTATACCTAACTAAGCTGTTGTTTTTTTCCTATTATATTTCAGTGGATCTTCTGGGTTGGACCATTCATTGGAGCTGCACTTGCTGCAGTTTACCACCAGATAATCATCAGAGCCATTCCATTCAAGAGCAAATCTTAATTATCTTGAAGAGTCTCATGTCCTATGTCTCTTCCCCTGTTATATTTCAAGACTCCTGTACCCCTTTTTCCCCCGTTTCTAATGCTGTTGTCTCATGTAATTTTCTTCTCTTTTGATGTTAATTATGTGTGTAAATTATCAGGTTAATGATGTATCTAAGTCTAAAAATTTTTAATATTAAATAATTACATATGATAATTTTTTTTTAAAAAATATCTAATATATAAAAAAAATTGCATTTTTCATGAAAAAAGAAATAAGAGATAATTTGGTAATGTGAATAGTTACTTTTGGGATTCAGTCCTAAATTTTAGGTGTGAATATGTTTCTTGACAAGTTTAATTACTTTAATTACTTTATATTCTTTACAAGTTTACTATCTCATAAAATATTTCTATCATAAGATAGCAAAAGGCAATTGCAACCTTTTTTTGTCAAGCTTTTTTGGTATTGCACCAAAAATATCGAAGCAACAAAAGTAATATCAAGTTATCTATAACGATTTGTTAAATCAGGTTAACTGTTCCGTACTTTTCTTATTACTTTACATCTAGAATTTGTTATTTTTTAATATCTTTTGTTTGTACTTATATGTATCATTTTTTTTATTTTTTTATTATGAATTTAATATGTCAACAAGAAAATATGAATTCACGTATTAAAAATGTCAAAAAATAGAATAATTGGAACTTTAATACAATTCCAAAAAGGAGCGCTTGATAAAATTTTAGCGAAGAATAAAAATTTTAAATAAAAAATTAGGAAAAATTTTTTGGTAGATGTAAATTACTAATACAGTTGAGTTAGACAGACAGTAGAATCCAAGAAGAAGAAGAAGAAGAAATTGGTGAGTCACAGATTTTTTAGAAAATCCTAAAAGAATTGAATAAATAATCCTAGAAAGTGGAAATATATATAATCCCGGTCAAAAAATCGATTATAAATAAATTATTAATAATTTTACATCTCAAAAAACTAAAAAAATAAACTTTAAATAAAATTTTACTAAATACGTTTTTTAATACCGAAAAACTTAGGATCCCTCGTTGAAATTTGGCTTTACGCCCCAAACACCGTTGGGCCGCCCCTGCCTCGAAATTAATATTTGGTTGAACTTAAGAAATTATAAACAATAAATTGACATAAGAAAATGATTTTTATACACAGGCCCGAGTTGAAGTTGAAAAGGGAAATTGGCATGTATTGGGTAGGGGTGGACATAAAATCCGAAAAACCAAACCGAATTAATTTGGTATTTCGGTTTCGGTTTTTTCGGTATTTCGGTTTATTTCGATACAAAAATTTCGGTATTTCGGTAATTCGGTTCGGTATACGGTATTGAATTTTTGATATTTCAGTATTTCGGTATACCGAAATATCGAAATAGTTTAGTTCAAGCCCAACTTTATTTTTAATTTTTAGCTCAATAACCTTAAGCCCAAACCCCAAATTCAAAAGAGGAATCAACATGGGTGAGCACTTTTTAAAAATTATTTAAGAAAATAATAATATTCTTTATTTGTTACATAAATGAAAGATTTTTTTTACACTAATGACATATTATAAAGATTAAGAAAACAATTAATGACCAGACAAAATGCATAAATCATGGGACATTCTCTACCATCTTAAAGAACTTTTGACATACTTCCTTGATCCGGCAATATCCAACATTGAAATGCATCCTATGGTGTTTCATGCGTTCCATTATTCTATAGGGTTTTGATGGTTTATGTTAGATATATTATACGTATATATCTATCACTATATGAAACATACCTGTTTATATATGTACATTATGTCATTTGTATATGTTGTATATAATAGTACTATATTATACAAAGTGAAATTCATACAACTATATAACATAGTCCAAACATATAGTAATATTTATACGATAAATATACCACAAACTGAATTATAACATATAATACACTCCAGAATTTTTATATCAATATTTTGGCGGAATTCTGAATATATAATATTTATACCGATATTATTTTGTAAATATTTATTTCTAAGTATATATGTATCTTATACCATTTATATAATTAAATATGCAATATACTATCATTATTCCATAAATATAAAATGAAATTATTTCATTATTATACCTTTTATAATATTAAATGTTGCTAATTAAATATGTAATATACCAAAAACTACGTTTGGTGGAAGTCATTCATGCGAGAAATTAGGAATAAATTGTGGAGAATTGGTTGATTCATGGCAGAAGAAATAAACAAGATATTTCAGTTGTTTGCTTCCTATTAGTTAATGGAGTGAGGGAGATAGTGAAAATTTGGTTTAAACCGAACCGTACCGAAATTGTACCAAACCAAAATAAGAAATACCGAACCGTACCGAAATATTTTGGTACGGTATTTGGTATACACAATTGATAAGCCGAATACCGAAATATCGAACCGAAATTCTTAAATACCGAACCGAAATATCGAATGTCCACGCCTAGTATTGGGTGTCAATTCTTTTGATATATTAAATCAAATCTATCCCTTGTCCTATATTCCTCATTGTGAAACTAACTCTACTAGTTTAGCAAAGCCTTTTGGGTTAGGAAAAAGTTAGCAGATTTTGAGGAAGTTTTGAGAAGGAAGAAGGAAAAGGTGAGGTTCTTATATGTCTATTTTAACACGTGTCATCACACTATTTGTTTTATCGACACACTATCCAGTTAGTTTAGTACATTGGATTTGCTAGGACTAGGGTTGTTAAAAATCGAAACCGTTAACCGAACCGAACCGGTGACTTATTGGCTTATTAGTATCGGATTATCGGGGTAATGGATGGTGAACAGATTGAAATTTTATAATTAACGGCTTAACGATTAGGTGGCAGATTAATTAATTTTATAATCGGGTAAACCATTAACCCGTTACGAATTTTATATTTAAACTTTTACCCCTATGTATATAAAGTACTATTGGAATCCTAAATGGCTAAATTCCTAATTTCTATTTTCTAATTCTCAATTGTCTGCAGCTACCAGAGGCAAAGAAGTCGTCAGTCTGGTCTCTCTCTTGAACGGAGAACTGAGAAGTCGAAAAATCAAAATCTCAATGATTAATATTGTATAGGAAAAAATACGACATGACACGTGGCCGCTTAAAGGAAGGACACGTGAAACGGAATATGGGGATGGCCACCGAACATAGCTATTCCGCTTGTCACTGGAAGGAATAACGATCATAAAAGGAGTATTAAATGCTTTGCGCCCGGTAACATTTAATACAAAATATTTTGCAGCACTAAGGATGATGGCCCATTACAAGAAATTTGGCACTTATGTCTAACGTTACATGTTCATCAATGGCCCTCATAATTGACATTAAAGAAGGGCATGATCCTAGGACCTCCTTTCCTAGACGTAGCTATAAATAGTGAGCTATGTTATCATTGTAAGGGGACGAATTTTCTGGCTAACTTACACTACATTCTATATAATATTTTAATATAATTTTATTCTCTAGCTTTTGATCTTATCATTGTTGTGCACGGAAACCCTGTTCCCAGACTCATTAGCTTTGTCATTCCATCTACATTCTAAGGGTAAGTATTTTATATTTTATCGATTATTTCATTATCTTTTGGATCAAATTAATTCACTTGTCTAGAAACCACGAATAAATTTAACTGTACCATTTTATGGGTAAACAGTTTGGCGCCCACCGTGGGGCCAGATAACCGTGCGATTAAATTGATCATTGTCTTTTTTACTAACGTGTTTTGATTACTCTGTCCTAGCAAAAACTTACCAAAAAATGACGGATAACACTGTTAATGGCGCGCGCAACCCTAAAATTCAAAGGGAACATCCTCATTTCGAGGATTCAATTTGTGACACTCGCAATGAGGATAACGATGTCACACCGGTACATGACAGGCGGTACCCTCGACAGGTTTGAGAGGCAACACCTGATGATGCTGATGAGGAGCATATAGCGGATGCAGTAAGGGTCCTGCAAGAGCAATATGCAATCATTCTAGGCCATCTCACGCGGCAGGATCAGGTTAAGACAGAACTGAAGTAGGCGCTATCGGGTGCCTCAAATAATGCAAACAAGCGAGATTCAGTTCCCCCTGATGTTCCCGCGAACCAGACGGCACATAGAGTTGATAATAACACTCCTAGGGGCGAAGTCGGCTCCGACGGGGCTGGGGGGAGTAGACCTGGCCTCAACAACGAGAACGATCCATTCAAGGATGAACTTTTGCAGTTCATGAAGGAGGTAAACACCCGTATGGATCAAATCCCGGGCGCTCCACTAGTACTAAAAGGCCCAAACTCGAAGAAGTATATTCAATTACCGTATAAACCGAGCGCAGCCCCGGAATTAATCCCGAAGAGGTTCAAAGTGCCCGAAGTGCCAAAGTATGACGGAACTTCATATCCATAGGAGCACATTACCACCTACACAACAGTAATGAAAGGAAATGATTTGGCTCCTCACGAAACTGAGTCTGTGTTGCTGAAAATATTTGGTGAGACTCTCACAAGGGGAGCTTTAACGTGGTATTCATTATTGTCTGAGCATTCCGTAGATTCCTTTTAGATGCTCGCGGATTCTTTCATCAAAGCTCATGCCGGTGCCAGAAAGGTACAAGCCCGAAAGGCCGACATATTCAAGATCGCGCAGGGAGAATTCGAATTATTATGAGAGTTCGTTACCCGGTTCCAGAAGGCAAGGAGGTTACTACCGGTAGTCCCGGATGAATGGGCGGCTGAAGCGTTCACCAAAGGTTTAAATAAGAGAAGTTCGGATGCTTCCCGGAAGTTGAAGGAAAGTCTACTCGAGTTTTAAGCGACAACTTGGGAAGATGTCCACGACCGGTACGAGTGAAAAATAAGGATCGAAGACGATCAGGTTGGCTTTCCATTGTCGACCAAAGGACGGGAGAAGAATAGAGAAAAAATGAAAGATGATATTGACACGGATAGACGGATTTCGAGGGGCCGATTTTTGCTCTACGAGCGGACAGAAGGTCGTGGCAGGAGCTTCCGGACAACAGACGAGTTCACCATTGATAGAAGGATCGATCGTGGCCGGAATAACAGATCGCTACATGATAAAGAAATCTCGAGGTCGCGAGATTCTTCTTTCCCAAAGTTGTCAGAGTATAACTTCAACGTTAGTATGGTGGAGTTGGTATCATCATGAGAAATATCAAAG